AACTTGGTATTGGAGATGCTGAGGCAATCAATAATTATATTGTTCAGACGCAAGTCAGACTTATTTTATATGATAGATGTAGATGACAATGCTCGAATCAGCTTATTTAGGGTTGATGCAAGGAGTAGATCAACTTATGAAGAATTTGGCGAAGTGATTATATTTGACACAACCTACTTAACAAAAAAATATGACATGCCCTTTGCACCTTTTGTGGGGCGTAAACCACCATGGACACTCAATTTTATTTGGATGTAGGTTGCTATCAAGTGAGGACTCAGTTACATTTATTTGGTTGTTTCGTACTTGGCAAGTATGTATGTTCGGACGTGCACCAAATGCTATAATTACAAATCAAGATAAAGCAATGCAAAAGGCAGTTGAGGTTGTATTTCTAACACTCTATATTTAATTGTTTGTTGTGATGAGTCAGAAAATGAGTTAAAATGTGCTTGCCGATTGTTTGAATTTAGAGGAATTTTATGAAAGCACACTTTATCAGTTCTTTTGAAACTAAATATTCAAAAAATTCCAGAAAAGTATAACTTAGCACATTGGAAAAAGGATTTCAGAAGGTCTTACAATAGTGTGAAAGTCACATATGACGATTGGAAAGGCAACCAAAAGGCTCAACATTATCATAAGTTGTAGAAGTAAATAGATGATGTTGCTGACTTAGTTGTCGCTTTTGATGAGAATTGTGAAGTATTATTGAACATGATGAATGAATTTCAATAAAAAATAAATAGAAATGTATCAACTTTGAATGTTAGTAACTTTTGTAAAGCTTTATGTGAAAACAATGGACTTCATAGTCCTCTAGCAGCATGAAGACACGAATGTCCTTTCAAGAATAGAAAGGTCTCAAATGGAGAGAAGTTCATTACTAAGAAGAAAAAATGTGTGAAGACAAAAAATCCAAGAAAAAGCAAGAAAACATTGAGGTGCATGATTATTGTTATCTGTCAGTTATACTTAAAAATGATAATTACTTAAACATGCATAAGTTATCATAATTTTATTTACTTTCAATCTCAAGCAATTGAACAAGATGTTTGCATGCCCATTGGGGTTGCTGAATGAGAAAATATAAGTATTCGGGTAATTTTTATATAATGTTGATGATGTCTAACTTTATATTATTTTGGTGATAATTTTTTTAAAGTTTATTTCACTTTATTGCCTCATGAGCAGGAAAAACAAGCATATACACCTTATAATTTTCATGTTAATGAAATGACCAGCTTCCAGCAACATGTACCAAATTTTCAACACATACCACCTTACACTTTAAGGCCTCCAGCTGTACTAGTTTCTATATTCAATGCTCAAGGTAAGAAAAAGCTCATTGAGTACTATCATTATATTATTTCATATGCCTTTGATAATTTTTTTTACCTTAGATCATGTCATACATTGCTATAATCCATTTATGCAATGAAGATGACACTTCTGTTGATGGTAGAAATCGAATCAACAAATTTTCTCACCTAACAATAATTTTCTCCTCTTAAACTTACTAGTTTCGATGCTCAAACTTGGACCAAGAGGGAAAATAACTATTTGATAGGGAAATATTTGAATTGGATGCTTTACTCTTAAAAAGTGGACCTATTTATAGATTTTTCTCCAAACTGTGGAATATTTCGATCATTAGGGAATATGACAGGTGGCAGATCCATACTTGTTATCTTGTAATTGATTCTGTTATGAATATCACATTTTATTCACTAGCGTACATGTCATGTATTTGCCCTGAGGTCATGCGTTAAGCATTTTCCTCGTGTTCTAATAGTAGAGCATTTTAAACTCATTCGCTTATGGTTTTCGCTTCGACAATATTGGGTGAGGTTCACAGAGTGTATTTTAACAAATAGTCCCCAAAATCTGATTTTATTATTTATATTGTTCAATGTTATGGGACTGCAAACTTCTGTGATGACTTGGCCAAATTATTTATTGGCTTTTACCATGTGGGCTGAACGAAACGTTTTTTAATCTTTACTGCCAATTCATGCACGATCCGAGAAACGTTCTTTACTTGCTTTTTACAAAACGTGTATTTTGACATTTGGTTTATTCCAGATTCTGGGGAGAAGCCTCTTGTCTCCCCCAAAATCCTTTTAAGTGTAGTCACCTGCTCTTCATTTTTGTCTATTATTTCACTATTTTTCCTGATGAATCATCTTTAGGTCTTATGCCAATATTTTATGTAATCAGCCAAGATCTTGGAATTATCCTAATTTTCCTCCTATCATGCCACAATCGCGTATTTGCGACTCTGATCCTGACATATATAATCCAAACGCTAGCAGAGAATGGTTCAAAAGATGGCAAATTTGCCGCTCTTTTGCATTTTCCATAGATTTGTGAGAGATCCCTATGTAAGGCATAGTTCCAAATATTGTGATAAAATCTCATATATTTCTTTCTCGTTTTTTGGGTTTGTAATATATTTAGTTGGCAAAGCATGCCTTTTGGCTATGTAATAGATTTAGCTCACAAATGTGAGTTGCCTAGTAATTTTTTTTATATATTAATGAGAATTCCCATTTTATGATTCTTTCTGCTTCACAATCGAGGTTCACGGAGTGTATTTCAACAAATTAATTGTAATTTTGAATCAAGAGTACTTTTATCTCTATTGTATAGAACTTGTATGTGTGTGTATGATTGAGCAACTTTTATATTCAACTTACAGTAATAGATTTTTAATTTTGCAAACGACAGGACCAACGATGCAGATGTTACCGATTTGGTTAATGAGGTAGGGGGAAATTAGTTCATGGGATTTTTTTTTTATTAACTATTGGATGTTATTGAGACTTTATTTTTTGTTGTCATGAAAGCAATAGGGAGTTTTATGTGGGTTTGAATTTATAAATAGCACATGTTTTACAATATTGTTTTACTGTTATTAGTATGGTTGAACAATGAAACCGTCAAACTGCAAAATGAATCGAAACTACGTTTTTGAAATTGTTGGTTTGAGTTTATGTGGATCCTTTTGATTTTGAATCGAATCAAAGTGCTTTGAAGTGACTTGGTTTAAGTTCAATCTTTACAAACCATTTCAACCACAAAACCATTTAAAAAAATTGAAAATAAATTAATTTAATTTTTATTAAGCCCAAATTAAAACTAAATACACTATAGTTAAAAAGATACATTTATGTTAGACATAATTCAATTAGACTCAATACTTAAATTGACAATTATTCATCCCAATTAATTAATTAAATCATATCAAAATACCCATCAATCATCGCATAAACTCAAACCATATTTATCTACGACCCCATTACAAGTTAGTAGATAATTAAATCTAGATTTTAATTTTAATTTACACATTTCTTTTACTTCTACAATAATTTTCTCGAATTTTGCTAAATTTCCAAGTCAATTTATCCAAATTTTCTTATTTTTGATAATTGTTTGCTATATTTTATTGGTATTTGTGTTGTTTTGTTCTAATTTGTGTTAGGCTCCCTTAAATTGTTGGTTGACAACACTTTTTGTTTATTTGCGTCTCAATGTTCTAATTTGATCACTTAATTAATTATTTATATTTTAACTTAGTTTCTAGATTTTACTATTAATTGCTATAATGATTTAGTGGATTACTTAAATGGTCATTTTGAAAATTTGCTCAATGAATCTTTCAATATATTACTTTAGTGGAAATTGAATGCAAATAAATACAAGATTGTCCCTCAATTTGCTAAAGATGTGTTAACTATTCAAATATCCACAAATGTTTTTGAGTTTGCATTCCCTATTAAATGTCGCATTCTTAATTCCTTTAGAAGTTTATTGAGTGCAAATGTAATTAAGCCCTTGTTTGATTCCTATTTTTATCAAAATATATTTTTCTTCTTTCTTTTTAACTATACATTCTTCAATAATATAATATTGTACAAATCCTATTTTTTTCCTTATTTTTTAACCACAAATTCTCTATCAATCTACTATTCCAAAATACATTCTCAACAAAAGAAAAATGAAAAAAGGTTGTAAGGTGGTTATTTGCCCTAAAAATTGATTGCAGAGTAAAAATGAACCTATAGTGATTCGTCAATATTTGGATGAGGTAGATGCATTTGATGATTCACAAAAAGATATAGACAGTATTATCATATTTGATCTTTCTATGCATTTTCTTTTATTAATTTTTTTTATATCATTTAACTATAATCTTATCTTTTTGGAGAGAATGAATCATGCGTCACAATTGCAGATGTTGCACCAATTAGTATCGACTAAGAGGTTAAAATATTTCTATCATTTTGCATTATAATGATTATAATTATAGAACTTTGATTTGTAGTATTTTTAATGATACCATTTATGTTTTAAAGTAAAATTCTAGATTAATATTTATGATTTAATTTATTTGATATATATTAATTTTTTCTTTGTTAAAAATCGTAGTTTTAAACCAAACCAAACTAAAAAAGGGGTTTTTTTTTCTTCTTTTTCGATCACTAATTCTCCAAAAAAAATTAATATTATACGTAAATCCAAAATTTTTTCTTCTTTTTCGATCATAGATTCTCCAAAAATTATAATTTCAAACAATGGAGGTCAAACGAGCGCAAAGTAAGAATTTATGCAAGAGGAGAATGAGATGAGGATTTGCAGCCATTTTCGACAGTGACAGCCATTTTTCGGTGAAAGAATAGAACAAAAGAAATCGTTAATCGCTCTTCTCCCCCCAAAAATACTATTAAACATAAGTAAAACATGATCTATAGATATTTTAAATGAACTAGTTTTTAAAAGTTTAATTAATAGTTAAGAGACATGGAGGGCATCTATTTATGAATAATGTTATTTGTACGGAAGGAGTTAAATAATGATTTACATCCTGATGAGGTGTCAAAAAGAGATTCGGAGAAGTTATTTGGTTGAAAAAATTCTGATCCAACATATTTCACCACATTATGTATATGTATATTATTATATATGTGGAGCGTAACCGCATATTTATTTATCTAATTTTAATCTTCAACCATTCTCTCTACCCTCGAGTCTTGAGGTTGTTCATACTCCGGAAAAGGGCTGGAGTAGCCAGCTTCAAGCGGGAAATTCAGTCTCGCTTTGCTTCCTCTAAGTTTAAACGCCGCCCTGTCGTACGCTTTCGCTGCCTCCACTGCCGTGTCAAATGTCCCAAGCCACACCCGAGTCCCTTTCCGGTTAGGATCGCGAATCTCTGCTGCGAATTTTCCTGAAGGACGCTGCCTCACGCCTCGGTAATGTCTCCTCTGATCCTCAAAAACCTGATTTTTCATCAATTCATCAACCTTTACCTCCACAGTACTGTGATCATTTGTAGTTTTATTTTCCCACTCCAATTTTCTTTCACTCTCTTTTTGAGGATTTGTAGCAATTATTTCTGGTTTTGTTTCGAATTCCATATGCTCGAGCTCAATTTTCGGAGCTTCGAATCCAAAAGAGGGTATGAAGTTAACAGAAGATTCAGTCACGACAGAACTTGAGTTTGTGATCCCACAAGTAGAACTGCTGAAAGTCGTTGAAATCTGTGATTCTAAGAATATGGAGGGGCCATAATTTTCCATGAAAGCAAAATCACCAAGAAGGTGTTGGCGTATGAGTTCAAGACTTGAACTTATTCCATCAGGTGATGCCATTAATTTTTTGA